TGACACATGGATGCTCGGCAGAGGTGACTGAAGCTACCCATAGAGGCACTGCTGCTTGTTGCTTCGGAGGTGCGAGAGTGTGAGATCGACGCGTGGACCACATGTTGATGTTCAACCAGCTGCTAGGTAGCTCGTAACATGTCTGAAGACACGATTTTCTACCAACCCTTGTCTATTTATGCCTCCCCACCTCAACCTCCCTGTGTGTGTCTGGCTGTGGCTTTTGCCTGCTCCTCTGCATGTTGACACTGCATAGCAGTAGTGACGTGAGGAGTGGACTAGACATGCACGCGACTGTGGTGCTTCATGGTATGCACATGAAGTCTACTCGCTGCCGTCTGTACACTAAAAACACACGGATGTATGTAACCGCTGCGCCATACCAAACGAACGCGAGAAAGAACGGGAGCATCACACTTTCCCGATGCGTCAATGCGTCTCAGGCAGCAGAGACTGGCATACACCGAACGCATTTGCATAGGCGGCATCAGTTCGAGATACCGCCCAATGCTGGCTGCAAGTGCAGTACACCACACAGCAGTAGTAGTGCCAGTTCGGATCGCAACAATACGCGCTACAGAAGCACTACAAGTATAGGCAACCACGCTCCCGGCAATAATTCGAAATGCGAGAGGTACGTCGGCAACTCCAACGCAAACAGCAACGGATGCAGCAACGTTTTCGTCAGGCCGTCTGTCCTCGCCAGCAGCCTTCGAGTTGCACACGCGCTTCTTGAAAGTGCACACTATGTAGACCGAGCCAGCCGTGATCGGTCCTGTATGTGCGATCCTTCTGAGGGTGTGTCTGGCTGGAAAGCGGTTTGGCCGGCCCCTCACCTTCTGCTGCTTCCCCTGCTGCTGCTCCTGCGGAGGCCTTCATCCCAGCCCCGCGATATCGCTGCGTACGTCCCGCTCTGTGCACGGCCGAGCTCGATAGCGTTCCCCACGCTGCAACGAGGCCGCCGCCGCTGCTGCTGCTGCGCCCGGCGGTGCCGCTGCTGCTGCGCATTAGAGCGGGCTGCTGGACGACGAAGCTGCGGCTTGGATTCATGAGGCACGCGACGAAGAGCAACGCCCACGGGAGAGACGCACTGCTGTACCCCGCCATGACTTCCCCAGAACGCGCGGACAAATCAGACTTCAGCTCTCTCTCTCTCGGGCGCAAAACGTCTGCCTCTGCTCCACGCGCCCTGCCTAGACTTCGTCAATGCGATGGCTCCGTGCTGTGCACTACGTTTGGTGTTTGTGTTGCCTGCAACTTCCTGCACACAAGAGGGCGGCTTGAAATGTCAATGCCAGGTACCCGTATAATATTCTACTCCGTAGTGCCCCCCAGAGCACGTTGCACCTTGAGTGTAGTGCCTCACCCACACCCCTCGACCTAGCCTCCACACACGAGACCACCTCTTCCACGCACTACTAAAGCAGCAGCAACATGCCGGTCAATGTAGCCATCAACGGTTTCGGTCGCATCGGGAGGTGCGTATCGTGGTTCCAGCTGTTTTTTTGGGGGGGGCGGAGGAGACCTCAAACAATTTGGGTGGAAATGAACCGACTGATGATGTCGCCTCTTGTTCGAGAGCTACATACCGGGGGGGTGTGATCGCGTGTTGTGGGAGTCGTGCACCTCGAGCAGTTGCATGCATAGAAGCGAGCTTAGTCTCCGCACGTGCAGTGCATCGCATGCCTTGGGGCCGGGTCGCGGCAGCAGCACGGCATCTGGTATCTACCGACTCCCCGGGTGATGCGTGCGTGTGCTTACGTATTCGTTTTTTCGTTTTTTCCACCGCCCTTGCACATCGTTCGACGATCGCATGCATATGCGTGTGCGGTGTCCGGCAACCTATGCGCTCTGGGAAAGGAAAGGCTGGTGATGCGAGCCGCCAAGAACAACAAGAACATCAACATCGTTGCGGTGAACGACCCCTTCGTGCCCACGGAATACATGAACTACAGTGAGTGCGGTTCCAAACTGGCAGCAGCAGTTGAACAGCGGCAGCAGCAATCATGTTGATGAGCGTATTTTCGTTGAATTTAGGCGGAAGATTCTGCTCAGATGATTACTTGTATGGCGCACCTGCTACTGCTCTACTGCTGCGGTGTGCGTCACATGACCGAACGGACCCCCCCCGGTGGAATCATCATACAGCAGTCAGTACTCTCCAATCCTTTTCGTATGCATAAGCAGTGGGTGGTTTGCTGTAGCTTCGCGGCAACGAATGCAACAGCCGTGCGTCTAAGCAGCGCGTTTGCGTCAATTTTAGTTAGGGTCTTCTGTCTACGCTGTTGCTGCTGTAAAGCTGCTGCTGCTGTACCAATATGCAGGTACGCATCTGCTGGGGTGAAACGACGATTACGACCTACATTTGGTGGTAGAATACTGGTCTGCTGTAGTTTCCATACAGCATGCATCAAAACACACAGTAGGTTCAAGATCTCGCCGTCGAGTATGCAGACAGGGCTTACCTCTGGTGGAACTGTTTTTTGTTACTGCTGTTGACATGTTCTCATGCACACTACTTGTACTCCTACATGTATTGCTGCTGTTGTGAAGGATACGAGTAAGAGGACGTATATAGGCACACACATTGTTGCGAGCTCTGCATGGCAGACTTCACTGCTGCTGTAACAGCGGACAAACACAGCAGTTAGTTAGATCGGAACATCATTTGTTCACTGCGCAAATACGATGGAGAAGGAACGCGTATGCTGAAAGAGCTTGTTTCCCTCACAAAAGCTTGTTTCCCTCACAAAAGCTTTAGTCCAGGTCTCTAATAGCGAAATGGTAGAGACTCCTCTGGGTACTACCGTAAATGACACAAGATAGCACACCCCCTGGACCGATTTTTCAAACCTCGATTTCTCAACAGCAGAAAGAGACACAGCGCCGAAAACGGTGGCGTTGAAGCTGTCTCGTCGAGAGCTTTCCGACCACAAATTGTTTCATTTTATGTATCCTCTTCGTCGTGGCGTAATCGAGCTTTGAAAACAATGGTCCAGGGGGTGTGTTATCTCGTGTCATATACGGTAGTCTGGTCGCGGGGGGGAAGCGTAGTATGCGAGAATGTGACCTCTTGGTGGCTACTTCTGTGAAGTGCCAGAGACTGCGACCAAGAAATAACCATCTTCATTACGGTTACGTCTGTTGCGCGTACCCGCCGAGATCGTGGTGCTTGGCATTTCCGTCAGCGGACTGCACTTCCTGACGACAAAATACGATGGTCTATCGCACGTCTATTTACACCTTGTCCTGACATTTTCTCGTGAAATCAGCGCCACAGCACCATCAGAGTTCCAATTGTGGCACCGAAGTTTACACCTATAGAGGGTTTAGCCTTGCCGCCTTCCATTACTGAATAATAACTGAAGTTGCACTCGCATCCCCCGCTGGCCGCGTTCGCCGCGTTCCCAACGAACTCTGGGTGGTGTAACTAAAGCTGCTCAATACGAGCATCCACTCCAACACCCGTTGGCCGCATTCCTAACAAGCTCTCGATGGTGATGCGAGGCCTTACTGCCGTCCAATACCTGCGTAATGTGCAGCTGCTCAAGACTCGAACCGATTGTCGTTAAATCCAACCAACCCCAACTCGCCGCATTATTCTCAACAAGCTCTCGATGGTAATATTGTTTTTTCTCCTTACAAAATCACAAAAAATAATCTCTTCCGCAGAGAAGGGTCCGGAACAGCTTACCAATGGATTCATGGCGTTGTATGATGACCAGCCCGAGATTCTTTTTATGCGATCGCGACAAAATAAACAGAATCCTTGTCTTGCACAGATAAGAAAGAGTCCGGGATAGATTAGCAATGAATTCATGGCGCTGCATGATGACAAACCTGCATTTCTTTCTTTTCGGCAATAAACAGTGTTCAAGTACGACACTGTGCACGGCATCTACGACGGGACTGTGGAGAACGACGACAGCAACCTCATCGTAGACGGCAAGAAGATCAAGGTGGGTGGGTTGCGGCCGCGAAGGAAGAAGTTGGTCGATGTTTCTGATGGCCTCGCATGGCTTGACGGGCGCTAGCTGTTCTCTTGTCGATACGGGAACGGCTCGACTAGAAAAAAATGTCCAAAAAAATTCCGTCCTTTTCCTTCCCTGGCTGCTGTCTCTTGTCGAGCCGGGAAGGATCCGACCAGAAACGAAAATTCCAAGAAATTTCCGTAGGTCCTTCCCCGCGCGGGACTGCTATTGGTTAGGCAGGCATGGTTTGCTGATCTTGATACAAGGAGGTACACAGCAGGGTGGAATGCAAGGATGTTCAGACACGCATCCGAGGATTTTTTTTGGGGGGGGTTCGCCGCGTGAGCTTGCCAGTTCCGGAATGGTGAACGTTTTCCTTCACTGATGAACAACACCGTGGGCGATGAAATTGGTAGCCTGGTAATTTATCGCGTTAACATCAAGTGTCCTTGAACCTTTTTTTGTCCTTTCCGTTTGCAGGTGTTCGGCGAGATGGACGCGTCCAAGATCAAGTTCGGTGACGTGGGTGCGGACGTGGTCGTGGAGAGCACCGGCATCTTCACCTCCAAGGAGGGTGCCGGCGTTCACCTTAAGGGCGGCGCCAAGAAGGTAGGCAATCTTTATCTCCAGGTGTTGCCGATGAAACGTGGAAAAGGTCGATAACCCTCGGCCTGCACGTTTCTTCCCCGTTTCGATTCTTGTGCGCTACTATTTAGTTGTTTGTCTTCTCGGGGTCTGTGAGGAGGGGGGGATAGCTTGCCCCCTTACGTGCAGCGCCTAAGCAGTGTTGTGCCCTCCCTCTCCCCACTCGGCGGTACGACGGAACTCTTCTCTTGACAATATCGCATGCTGGCCTATCTGGATCTACGGTCGGGGGGGGTTACAAAACCTTTGACGTTAAGGTTCCCTCTGGATGACGATACTCATTGTACATGCACAGCCTTTTCCCCTGTGATATCGTGTAGTTTTGTTGCTACTATCTCCGGAAATCATCTCGTCGGCCTACTGTATTTTGAAGTCCTTGCTTCCCGTGTTTGTCGACGAAAATAACAACGTTCTGTGCTTCTAGTTGTTCTCTCGTAGACAGCACACCGATCGTCTCGTCTGTTTTTGTTTGTTTTTCCGTGGTTTTTCATTTACTCATCGACTTTCAATCCTTCATTACCGTAAGAGTCGGAGAGTTGGCACCGGGTGCGATCGTTTTTTTTAATGTTTTTTGCTCAGGTTTTTCATCGCACCCCGGTGCGGAAATGCAATTAAATTATTTCGTTTAGAATTTTCAAGGCACCCCGGTTCGATCTCTCCGACCGGTGCGATCCCCGGTGAAATAACTACACACAGGTGTTGCACCCCGGTGCGATCTCTCCGACCCGTGCGATCCCCGATGAAATAAATGCACACAGGTGTTGTGTGCACACACCCCGGTACCATCTCCCGACCGTTGCCATAGTATTGATTGGTACCAGTGTAGGTACCCACGCACGCACACGGTCTTCTGCACACACACGCATATCTGAGCCGAAAAAAGGCGGCGAAATACACATACAGCATACCCCAAAAAAAACGGCGAAACAAATAGCGCAAACAAAAAAATCTAGACGATGACAGTCCGTGCGAGCCCACACACACAGCCATTGATTGTTGATTGTTGATTGTTGATTGTGCCATGTCAGAGGGTGCAGGTACTGCTTCCTCACGATGTCGTTTCCATCTGAGGTGGTACCAGTACACACGGTATCATTTTTTGCCGGCTTTCGTTTCGGTCTTCTTCTACGGATACCAGTACGTACGCAGGAGTACAGTAGTTTCGGGTTGTATAAGTTGGGGTAGGGTGCGCCTTGTACGCTGGGTGTTTGGTTGAGTGTACGGTTGGCAACTTCCATACCAATAAAAATATGAAAGCAACTGGCATCCCGCGTGAACCGCGACCATCCAATCGTACGTGAAGGAGTGGCCCTCCGCTGACTCCGTCCCCACGTGTAAAAGGTACGCACATGTACCTCATCCCGGCAGCTGAAAAGGAGTTCAATCTTGGATTTGGGGGTCGGAGAGATCGCACCGGGTACGATCTCACCGACCCCGGTGCGTGAATCGAATCAATGGTTTCTCGGGTTTTTTATCGCACCCCGGTGCCCTCTCTCCAACCGGTGCCATCTCTCCGGCCCGTGCCAACTCTCCGACTCTTACGGTATTTGTTCTTTGTTCCTTGTGTGCAAGGTGGTGATCAGCGCCCCCTCCGGAGACGCGCCCATGTTCGTGATGGGCGTCAACCACGACAAGTACACCCCGGACATGGACGTCGTGTCCAACGCCTCCTGCACCACCAACTGCCTTGCCCCCATGGCCAAGGTACTGTATTATTGGATCGCCGACTGCGTGAAGCCGCTGTTGTTATAGCCTCCTTCTCGTTGTCTTCTTTCCGTTTTTTCGGTACGTTGTATGTTGCCGGTCGCCCCGATGGTCTAGTTGGTAGCCTCGTAACCTTCTAGAGGTCAGGTCAGGGGTTCGAATCCCGGCGTAGGCGAGCTTTTCTAGCAAAGTGGGTTTTTCTCTCGCTTCCGCTCCTGGCCAAGTGGATAGCGCTAGTTCGTGTGTACACAGAGGGAAGAGAGTGCTGAACTCTTCTCGCATTAAAAATTGAAGGCGAAGTACCGCAGGAGGGGAGGGTAGAGAGAGGCTCTTCTGTGTGACCACGGGTTGGAATAAACGGCACTAGTGCTGTGAGCGCTGATTTGAAGTAAAAAAAAAAAAAAGTTGTCGCCGACAACACTGCTGTAGTTTGTGTCGTGCCCTTCCTCCACTGCACCCTCTTGGTGTTCTTATTTCTGGGCTTGTTTTACTCGAAAGCGTACAATCTCTGTGTTTGTGTGGCTGCTTGGAACGCCATGGTAGATTTACATGTTTCATGTTTCTGGGTTTGTTTGGCTCTCGGTACGTGTAGTATCCTGGAACGCCATGGTAGATTGAAAATATCGTGTTTCGTTCATGGTTCCCGTTCGAAAAAGAATATCGTGACACGTGTTACTGCTGCTGTTTTGTCAATGCCTTGTCTGTTGTCGCTCGATGCATGTGAATGTGACCAACGTGACGCCACATGTTCCTGCCGCTGTTTTGCCAATGCCTTGTTTGTTGTCGCTCGATGCATGTGAATGTGATCAACGTGACACCACATGTTCCTGCCGCTGTTTTGTCAATGCCTTGTTCGTTGTCGCTTTATGCATGTGAACAAAGGTGATCAACGACACGTTCGGTCTTAAGGAGGGTCTCATGACCACCGTGCACGCCGTCACGGCCACCCAGAAGACCGTAGACGGACCGTCCAAGAAGGACTGGAGGGGCGGTGAGTCAGTCTACAGCTAAAGTCGGCGCCCGCACTCACGAACCTACTGTACCGTAGCATAGGAGTTTAGAAATTCGCGCTCAAACACGATTATTTAAAGAGCCCGGCCATAAGAACAGGTGTTCAGTCAAGAAGCTTGCCTTATACGTATGATACTACACAAGGTAACACACCCCCTGGACCGATTTTCGAAGCCCGATTTCTCACTAGCAGAAAGATCGGCGTTGCCGACAACGCCAGCGTTGAAGCCGTCTGGTCGAGAGAGAGCTTTCCGAAAATGTATCGTTTCTTTTATGCATCATCTTCGTCGTGGAGTAATCGAGCTTTGAAAATCGGTCCAGGGGGTGTGTTATCTTGTGTCATATACGGTACACTAACAGCTATATAGTCGCTGTTGGGGTACAGTACCCCATGGGGGAAAATAAGAAACGGCCGTCTGCCAATATATCGTTTTTGAATGCGGGCGCTTACTGTGTTATTCGTTCACTTATTCGTTCACATGCTTGATCACGCGACTCGGCCAAATATGAGGTTCTAAACGTATGGGAACGAACTGTATTATTCGTTCACGTGCTTATCACACAACAGCAGTGGGTCAGTTGGTGACCTCGTGCATACGATAATATTGTGGCTTTATGAATAGCTTGTGGTTTCGAATCGCTGCGAAGTGAAAAACGCTCGCAATCTGGGAGCGAGTCGCGGATAAAACTTCGAGAAAAATAAGGATAGTGATCTTGTTGACCTCCCCCTATGTGACCCGGGCTGATCGCGTCAAACATGTAACGAGTACTCCACTTACATGTTTGCAACTTGCGTCCACCCCTCCCGCGCCTTTTTTTTTTTCTCTGATGTGGCCGTTAACAGGAAGGGGAGCCGGGTTCAACATCATCCCTTCGGGAACAGGTAGGTTGAAGGAGAGGTAAAGGGGAGGGAGACGATAGCGCAAGGTGGTTGGCAAGAACTCTTGTGAGGGCGGGGCGGGCATTGACTGTGTATCAGTAGGAGGGTTACCTCGCTCCTGAAGAGGCGAGATTGATGGCTGAGTACTCAAATATTGACATGAGGGGCATCAATCGGACAAACGGTAAGCTTAATGGTCGGCTCCACGATAAATCCCCCCTGTTTTTTGGAACTTCTCTTGTTTGGTAGGCAAGAAGACTTGTAATGATACAGGCAAACGTAAAAGGTAATCTCCATGTTAGGCGAGAGCTAAAGTTGAGGATTGATCCCCCACCGTCTTGTTTGCTAGGCCAAAGAACACTGCCCACGGTAAACGTAAAGATCACCTCCATGTAAGGCGAGAGAGCTGAGGATATCATCAATCAATCCCCCACGCTTTCTCGTCAACAGGTGCCGCCAAGGCTGTGGGTGTCGTCATCCCGGAGCTCAACGGCAAGCTGACCGGCATGTGAGCACACGAGATAACATGAACCGCAACAGCATTAGTCTTAGCCGAACGGTACATTTTAGCGGGCGCAAGCTAGTAGTAGATTTGCTTCTTCTGTTTTAAGCCGAGGCTTCGGCCGATGGGTCGTCCTCGCTTTACTGGCGAGAGTCAGATATGAGTGCAGGGCAGCAGGAATACACTCAAGCATGAGATTTTTTTAACCGGAAAACGACACATAAGGGAATATCCGTACCCTAGTCGAAAAGCGTCTCAGCTGGGTACATAGTATTCAACAGCCTGGAATGAGCCCAGCTGATTGGTCAAAGTCTGTTTTCACCCTCTGCCGCGTCCTGAAGGTGGGCTTTGACCAATCAGCTGGGCTCATTCCACGCTGTTGAATACTGTGTACCCAGCTGAGTCGCTTTTGGACCAGGGTATACCCGGTTGTTTCGTTTTCCCTTTTTCTTTTAGTGGCGATGTTCGAGCTGCTGCGATGAGCACCGCAGGTTTAGACCCAATCGCCAGCATTCCTTGCGTCTGCTTTTATCCCAAAAACACGGACGGAATGGCTTCCTTTTTGTGGCAGGCTGCCTTTTGTTGTAGTTGCCTTCGGTTATTGGAAAAAAGTTATTTTTTCTTTTTCTTTTTCTTTTTTTTGGGCGGGGTGGGGTAATTTGAAATTTGTTTTTAAAAGATTTCCGCCTTTAAGGGGGGGTAGTGACGGGGGGTGTTTTTTTTAGAAAAGTTTGGGTTTTTCCCACTTCCTTTTGGGGGGTGGGAAGTTATTAGGGTGAGAGTTGGTGTTTGGAGGATGAAAAGTGTGTTTTTTTAAATTTTACTTTTTCCAAAGCCCTTCACCCCCCCCCCCCCCTCGTGTGCCCCCTTAGGTCATTCCGCGTGCCAACGGCGGATGTGTCCGTTGTGGACTTGACGTGCCGC